AGTAGATGTGTACTACTACTACTACTACTACTACTACTAATAATAATAATAATAATAATAATAATATTTTTATTACTACTACTATAGTAGTAGTATTAAAAAAATATTATTATTATTATTATTAATGGTAAAAGTAATAATGACTGAAGTAATCATTTCATTTGAAACTACATACAATATGAAAGCAGTGATTTAAAAATTTGTATTAAATATTTAACAATTTAACAAATATTTTACAGTTAATAAATGCCGCCTTGATGAACAGAATCATTTTCTTTAAAAAAAATCTGACCTCAAACTTTTGACCTGTAGCGTGTATCAAGTAGATTGAAATACCTGTACATTACTGAAACAAGATTAAATTTACTGTTAGAAATAATAACAATTAAATGTCCAAAACAGACCTGTAGCCAGGGAGAGTTCAGGCGGTTTGAAAGACACAACCCCCTTCTGACAAAGTCCAGAATTTGGCCCTATATTTGCTCATTTGTCCCATTTTTGACAATATGCCATAATAAATTGTGAAAATAACAAATAAAAGAAGGCTTTTATTATTTAAATGGATAAATGAGCTGTTCAGTTTGTTGGCCTTTATGCTTTAGTTTTTAATTTAGTTAATTTAGTTTAATATTAATGTTTTGTTTTTTAGGTTTTAACAGTTTCCCATTTTGTTATTGTTTTTTTTATAATGGATAATAAACTATTATTTAAAATAACTAATAATAATAATAATAATAATAATAATAATAATAATAATAATAAGAAGAAGAAGAAGAAGAAGAAGAAGAAGAAGAAGAAGAAGAAGAAGAACCTCGAATAACTGCAAAAAAAGTTAATAGGCTGGCTACGGGCTTACATAATTTTAACGGTAAATAGAGTTTGAGTAACCTTTAAAATCACTACGACAGTAGGTGGCGACGTCAAGTGACTCGATCATTCACTCAAACAGTTGAATCGTGATTCATCTGATTCATTTTAAACGAACATCAAACTCGACGGAAGAGGCCCCAATTGAGTCCTGTCTCCTTATCGTTTGAAATTGCTGACATTACAAAACAGACTAGGTTGGTTGGTTACTCAATATGCCTACGGACTTACAACACAATGGTTTATTGTACTTTGTGTTCAAGTAATTTTATATCACTCGTTTGCAGCCCTTGTGGTAATCAGCAGATGTGAATCAATTAACTTAGGCTATAGGCAGGCCTTCAGGAATTATCTCTCTTCATTATGAGAGTGTCGTTACATTTGTGTAGATTCGTGCTTTAAAAATGTCAGTGTTGCCAAATCTGATCAAAACCTCCTGCAGAAAAAAACAAACAAACAAACAAAACAATACAAACAAGCATAGAATATGTTATAGTGTGGTTTTTAAGAGATCTGTAATAGGCTTTCAGGACTCACTATTGGCATGTTTTTAAATGATATTTGTACTGGAAACCATTAGAAACTCATTTGAAAACCATTAGAAACCATGTGTTTGTTTGTTGGTACAACAATGGTAGTTTAATCCAACATGAAGAACAAGAATTCCACAAGATTCAACAAGAATGAAATGTAAAAGTTTAAGTCAGCTAAAATTGGTCAGTACTTTAGCTGAAAAGTCAGTCTGAAGAAAGAGGGATTTCCTTGAAATGACAGATAAGATAAAACTATGTGAGTATACCGCCAGGTTTTATTTTTTTAAAAATATTTAAATAGCAAATTATAAATATATTACAAACATGTTGTTTTACTGAACTGAAATAATCTGAATCCCTTACCTTATAGACCTTTCCAAAAGCTCCATCTCCTAGTTCTCCCAGAGTCTCCCACGACTGGTGTGGATCCACATCCCTCTTCAGGTTCTCATAATGCCTCACTCGCTTTTTCTCCACACCTAGCCGAAAGAATCGCATCAGGAGGGAGGCCATCGCTCCCTCCTTTCAAACTCACCCCAAATCCGTATGAAATCCCAGTCTCTTTAGTAAACCAGTGGTCCTCAACGTCTAGTTCAACAATGAAAACTCCTCAGGCCTGCCCAGAACTCAAAACAACACACAAATCGAGTCTCACCGAGGTGAAGATATGCTTTTGATTTTCACATCTGCCCTCATGCACACTTTACAGCAAGACAGGAAGCTGCAAGTAGCAGCCACATCCTTTACAAATGTGGGCCACAATAATGTATCTGTTGCACCTCGTATTTAGAAATGTAGTTTGTGCACTCTATTGTAGTGCATCTGTGAGAAGCAAAACATATAGAGGCATACTTTCAGCAAACTGCGAATATCATGGCCCTGTGTTTACTAATGGTTTAAAAATGTAAACTTGGAGTAAAAGTATTTTGGGAAGTCCCCAAATTAATCACACATACTAATTTAAAATCACCCACGTTTTTCTTTTTGTTTTCAGTCTGGGTCAAGAAACAAGTCATCAGTAAGATCATTTTCCACTGTTAGCTCTGTTTACTGACATGTGTAGGATGATCTGAGAGATGTAGTTCTACACCATCACCACAAGATGTCACTTTAGTACCACATATTAACGCTTGAAATGTAAAATAATATTTAGAAAAATGTATATTTTTGAATGGAACAATTTATTGAGCCTTCAAAAAAAGCCTGTACAGAATCTACATATTTTATTCATATTTTATTAATCAGACTTTGGTGTTTTAAGTAACCAAACTTTTAAGATCAATCCTAAATCTCTGCCTTGCTTAAAAGACAGTATCTCAACTTATTTGGCACAATTTCAGGGGAACACTTTGGTGTCATTTTGGTATAGTAATATCTGGCAATATTGCAATGCGGGCAACGCACCTAACGAACTGACAGTCGGCAGTCAAAAAGGAATGAGAAGAGTTTAACTGAGGAGAACATTTGCGATAAGATATTATCATTATGAAACGGCCAAATGCTATCAAAAATGTAGCATAATAACCCTTGTTTAAAAGCTCATCTGTAGAAATGAAAATGGCCAGGATGTAGACTATCCTATGTCATTTCATTAGGTTAACCCTTATGTTTACTGATGATGTTTTCATTCACTCTGGGTGATTTTGAGTCTTAATTTGGCCATAACTTTTTCTGTGTTTCAGCTAGGGGAAAGATTCTTGGTAACAAATCTTATTTTAAGAAAATGCTTTCAATTAAAAAAAAAAAAAAAATCAGCGATACACTCTGGGCGAATATACCTTTTTAAGTTGGGGATGAAAACATCCACTGAATTAAACTGCTGTAAAATGCATCAGATACAAATTTTGTTATTATTTATTTGCATCAATCTGTTCATCAACCTCAGTCCTGATCAAAACTACTAAATTACAGGATTTAAACTTTTTAATGGCCAAATTCATAAATGATGTTAATGATTTGGTGAAAAACCCAATCATTAGTAAAAATCCTGTAATTTCTAAACAATTTAGTTGTGTTGATCAGAGCTGAGGTTGATTAACAGATTTATGCAAATAAATGTAAAATATATATTAATCTGATGCATTTTACAGCGGTTTCAATTCAGTGGATGTTTTCATCCTGCACATAACAAAAAGGGTTGTACATTTGAACAGTGCACAAGGGTTAAATAGTTAATTAACTACATTTGAAGTCACGTAAATTAATGAAATACTTGTATAAATCATGTAGTTTGTAAAAATCATGAAATAAATAATACATGTCATTTGTTTTTTTGTACACTGAATCTTATAAATAAAAATCTTTACAGCAAAGAAAATGAACGTAGCCTTCTGCTACATGAAACAAAACTCTAACTTTTTTGTAGACGTTAATGCAACATAAGGCCATGCTTGTAAGACATCAAAAACTGAGTGCACCATTTCAATGAACAGATTGTTCAAAGTTTAGTTGGCTTTCATGCGAGACAGTTAAGAAAGTTCAGGAGTCTTATGACCAGCATCATCATGCTACTGTACCAGCATGAGCGGTGAGTCCTGGGCTAATGCTCCACTGAACTAATCTGAGGAATGGGAACTTGGATGACATTCCTGCTAATCAGCTTGTTTAAACAGTTCAACTAAAAACACAGAAGACATCTCCAATTGACCATTGAACAGCATTCCAGAGGAATCATAGGATCTGTGCAAAGTACATGGTGGGAAACTGGCAAGACTTGCTTTTCAGTTTTAAAAAAATTAAAAAAACACAAAAATAATTGTAAGGAACTTTTAGATTTTTTTTTGATAAAATTTTTTTAATTTTTTTTTATTATTTTTAAACACAAATAAGATGTATTGAAAAAAAAATGCTGAAACCAGTAACCATTTTTATGTTTTTATGATTATTAAAAATATTTTTTTGTGTGTTTTGACAGAAAAACTGAACAAGTCAAGGCTGAGTAAATGATGACAAATTTGTGTGTGTAAAGTATCCTTATCAACTTTGCATCCACTCAAAAACAAATTATTTTGGCATTTGCGTTCTTTTGCAGAAGTATATTGATGTAACACAAATGCTTTGTGATGGATGTAAAGCTTCGGGTGTAAAGAATTTGATGTTTGCAGCATAAGGTAATGCAAAAAAGGTGTAGAAAATGCAATTGTCTTGTGAGTTTTTGTGATCAACAGCCAAGCTAAGTCAGCAAGTTTTCAGCACAAGCAGACATGAGAATACTAGTAGTTGGAAATATAAGTGTACATAAAATCTTGATCTATATTTTCATGAAATGCTTTTTTTTTTTTACTAAAATTAAAACTGAATGAGTTTTTTTTTTAAAATAGTATAACATACTTTTTTTTTTTTTTTTTTTTGTCAGTCAGTAGCCTAGTCGTGGTTAGTTACCAATTCTTCCCCTCTCTCTATGCTCCATACTTTCCTCTTTGTAATCTCCACTGTCCTATAAAACCCCCTAAAGAAATATTTTTAAAAAATGTATACAGCTCTAAAAATATATTTAGCAAAAATGTTTTTCCACAGACTCTGTGCTGGAAGTCACCGGCTCATATTTAGCTGCGCCAAATTTAGATCATGCTGACAAAATAAAAACAAATTTCACATCAATCATTTTGAGATCTGAATCTTTTTTTAATGAAATGCTCTTAAACTGAACACAAAAGTCAATTAATCGAAAACATGAGTAAATTTTACCTTGTAAATTTTGAAAACTAAAACCATGGCATTTGTTCAAATGACGCAAAACAAATGGAGTTAATAATGGGGTTGTGTAACACTTGAAGATTCAAAAAGAGCACCTTTACTTCTTGACTGTACAGTGGTCAAAGATGTTACTCTGGTTTTTACAACGAGAGGCTAAATTTTCAATTTTACACAATTGATCAACTTAAAAAGTGCACCAGAACAGAGTGGGACAAGACGTAACAAATTCAGTGAAGGTTACAGTTGACTTAAAGGCCAGGCGAAAGGATAAACAAAGCCACGTCTGGGGGATTCAATGCTTATACAGGTAAATCTTTAGAATATTGCCGTACAATATTGTTTCCCTCACAGTGGTTTTCATCCAGTGCAACATGAAAAGCAATAACAATCCAAACGGTACATAAAATATGTCTTCGGGGAATATTTCAATATTTATCAAAAGTAAACTCAGGACTTCTACAGGTATTTAGGCTTTTCCGCAAAGGAAAATATTTAAATGCATGATTCAAACGGGGACACGGCATATCATCAACAAATTAAATACACACTTTCTGATAAAACGGTTTTGTGCCGAACTGCAGAGTCTGCCACAGGCAGGCCTGGCGTAAATCGCTACACCGCTAATCGCATCTCCTGAGGGAGTGAACGTAAAAATTCCCCTCGAAAAGGGAATTGGAACATTTTCAAATAAAAAAATACCCAAATACTTTGCCATTTACAAATCATCTGCCAAACTCAATCCTGAATGCAATCGTACGCATTCCTCATATTAAAATAATCTTATTTTTCCAACTCATAAACTACACGTATGGCACAGTGACTGTATAAAGCGGCAGCACTTATATAATATGCAGGTATTGTACAATTTATTTACACATTTACATGATGAAGTTCAGAAAAAAAGAAGAGGCAAAGTTCCTTGTTCCTTTTCTGGCCGGACAGAATCTTGAAGCCTTTTTTGTGCGCTAATTTACATAATCTGTCAAATGTTCATGGTTGTAAATGTCATTGATGTCAAACAGGAGTGATGGATCAATTCAAACCAAACCGTTTTGCTCTTTCCGTTTTTTTAAAAGCAGATTGAGGATGTGATGCGAGTAGCTGATCAGGTCTGAATGGAAGATGTGAGTCTCTCGAGATCATAGACTGTGAGAGAGACTCTTCCTCCAGCATCTACACACTTTCTCCAGCAGAATGAGGTGATGATGGTCACATGCAGCCTTTCTCATATGCCATTGGCACTCATCTTGGACTTCTGTGACAACTCTGCTTCTTTAGCCTGATGAGACACAACAAATGAAGGTAAGTTACATCGCCAAATTCAAAGGCATTAAAATTAGAGTAACATATGAGCTGGTAAATGTAGTGAAGATACATATGCTTTTACAGTTGAACTAAAAAATGTTTTAATGATATAGAAATTTTGTGTCCACATTGAAAGTGATACACACACTTTAAGGGCTCTATTTTGACGGTCCACGCAGAGCGCAAAACACAGGGCGCAAACGCTTTCAGGGCGTGTCAGAACGCGTTTTTGCTCATTTAAGGCAAGAAAACCTGCTTTGCGTCATGGCGCATGGTTTAAAAGGGTTGAGTTTATTTTATTAATGAGTTATAGGTGTGTTTTGAGAATAAACCAATTAGAGTCTCATCTTCCATTCCCTTTAGGACCCAGCTGTGTCACGCCAAGAGCGCATTTGCTATTTACAGGACGCAAATTAAGTCTAAGTGGAAAAAATGAGCATTTCACTAGCAAACAGAAAACTATTAAACAGAGCATTTACTGCGTGAGAATGAGAGGTAATGGAACTACTTTCACATTCGCTCTTGGATAGGGAAACCTTTATGCACAGACATCAGTTAGTCTATAAACAATTCATTTCGTTTGTTAAGCGCAAATATTTGTTTCAAAACTATTTCTAAATTCAGTTCTAATTTCCAGCAAACGAATAAATGAACAATATTAACGAAGTGTGTTCAAAAACCTGAGTTATAACCTAAAACACATGCTGTGCCCCATATGGTCTAAAACCTGACAGGTGGGCAAATCTAAGCTTGTTTTTAATAAAACAAATATAAATATGGATATAATAAATAATACTGCTAATAATAATAACAAATTGTTGTGAATGAACTGAAAAAGCCTCCCGAGATAAAGAAGACATAAAAGCAGTGATTTTTTATATTTATGTAGGCTAGAAAATAATATGTTTTGTAATATTTTCATCCTTTATATTTATATCCTATATCTATTCTTATTATATCCTATATATATCCTTAATATTTACATTTTTTTATATGTAAAGATATTTGCCTATTGCTCTCTTGTGCGTTTTAAGCAGTGCGTAAGCGAGGCGCAACTCTGCGCCTTATAGTTTCTTATAGTTTCTCAAAATAACAACGCGCCAGCGGTCCGCCTCAGAACGCCTCCCTTTTTAGACCAGAACGCCTATGGGCGCACAAATGAGCGCTAATGCATTTGCTATTTAAACAGCGTAGCGCAACGCCTCAAAACGACTCTTGCGCCAAGCTGAAACTACCAAAAGACTATTGCGCCGGGTCTTGCACCACATTGCGCCGGGTGTATGATAGGGCCCTAAATGTTAATGCCTACTTTGTTCCATCATCATTCAGTGTAACATGTTTATGTATAAATAATGCATTTTCCTCACCTGTACCCAATAAATCTATACTAAGGAATAAATGATCATGAGGAATTCCAGCGTTATGGATGTGGCATTTGCAGTAAAAACTCAAAACATAAAAACTCACAGAGAAAGTAACATCCGTTTATATTTTCCAAAACAACTAACCACAGAGTTATGGGATCAAAGAAATATTAATCTGTAAACATATTTTATATTTCAAATGAGGATGTGACCAAAAAAGCATGCAAGTTTGCAGTATACAACATACTTTGTAGAAGTTCTGTGAATTAAACTGCACAACCCAAAGGAAACAATCAAAATGATAAGAGTTGACTCACTATAGAACAAACATAATTGTTTTATTTTGCATTTATGAGGAAAAAGCTTGGCTATGGATGTGACGTCTCTCCGTTATAGATGTGACAGATATGAAATTGAAAGTACTGTAAAATACTTGCTTACACAAATAACTTTAGTAATGGTTTGACTATTTTAACTATTTTTATTTTTCATGGCAAGGCTGACTTTGCATGGTATTGTTCTCATATTAAATTTATATTCTGGACTTTTTAAAACCTAGTGATTTGAAATATTAATATAATACATGTATACATTAAAATATGTAATTCTGTAAAACATGGTTAACGTATGATTTTGTTGTTTAGAAAAAAACACTATTAAATAAGACACATTAATGTGCGGAATTAATAGAAATGCAGCTGTGTTGCACTGTTATTTTAATTATTCCTTTTATTACCTTTTTGTCTTTAACCCATATCATACTTCTAAAAACTATTAACAAATGAAAATAAAGGGAGCGTGCAGGAAAATATGTGTAATAGTTGAGGGATAGTACAGTTAGCTAAAAGTAAAATCATGATACAAAACAATATTTGTTGCTTGAAATTAAATATTAAATATTAAAAACAAAATACTGAAAATGTACCATTAAAATGTAAATTCATTTTTAATTTTTAATTACAAAAAGTAAGTACAAAAAGTACACAATTTTAATTAGCTGAATTAAAATAACATTATAATAAAGAGTAAACAGACCTTGCAAAAAAGAAAAAAAACATTGATACTTCACCTTTCAATAAAAACATGATCAATGCGGTATCTTCTGTGACATACTATTTACTTACATGTATTAACTGAGCTTCAGGTGAAGGCATGTCCAACCCTCTGGGTTTCTCCAACAGTTCTTCTGACTAAAATACATAACCAAAGTGTTAGTATCAGATAAAGGTCTTTGTAGATACTTCCGTTCATGTTTTGTTTTTAAACACGGCCTTGAGAGACCTGAGAGATGGGAACTGATTCATTGATTGGTGACAAAACAAGATGTGTACCTTTCTGTTTTTGATGACAGGAGCAGAATCCACCATCACCTCCACTGAGGAGGACAGGGGATTCCCTTTGGCTGATGTGTCGGCCTCCACAGGAGGAGCATTGGTTTTCTATGGCCCAGACACAGAGGAAAAAGGTCAGTTGATACCATAAGAAACATTAACCATGTTGTGACGTATCAGTCTGCATTTCTGTCTGATATGAGAGCAAGACATCACTAAGAAACATTAACCATGTTGTGACGTATCAGTCTGCATTTCTGTCTGATATGAGAGCAAGACATCACTTTGTAAAGGTTTGAAAGTTAATCTGTTGCCAAGCACTGCTGCCAGAAAGCCTGGCTGTGTATCAGTTACACACATAACAAGTTATGCTTTGTAGCTAAAGCAAATACAGATTGTGCTGTTTATATGCAGTATTACAATAGAAGAAACATAATCTGGATACATCTAGTCCAAGTTTTCAGACTAAAAGATTAGAGGGGTTTATAACAAACACAAGTTACTCAATTCTGTTTGACTGTGTTAATTAGTAGGTATGTTGTATTATAGTTCAGATATTGGCTAATTTAACTGTGCATCTCTAAAACAATAATCAAATCGACCTATTAAATTAAATATATAGCA